AGAAGGGCAAGTTGGTCCATACCTCAAATCTCAGCTGACACTCACCTGGATCACAGTGTACCGGCTGTAGCAACGGTGGCTGGAACAAGGGAATGTGGCAAGTTCGAGGAGTGCCGGTGCACATATTTCACAAGTGCACATATGTGTAGCCACCGAGGGAGTGGCTTCTAGGATGGACCTATGAGGATCCAGCAATATTTCTGTCATGTCACATGACCTTTCGCGTGCTTTAATATGGTTGAAAACATTTTGCCACGCAATTTGCTGTACAAAATAATGAAAGCATCGTCAATTTCTTCTGAAAATTTTCATTGCGAAGTTAGATCAAATATAAGCAGTTGTGAAGATTTCACTACATGGTTGAAAGAATTTGAAATAAATGTTGGACACCCCGTAAAAATATCCATATGAAGTATTACTTAATAAGTGGTAAATAATACGAAGAAATAAATATGTGATAAAGATCTGAACCCAAATGCTATCTTTACATAAAACTATGCATAGAAGAAAATTATTTGCACCAATTATATATTATGTACATAGAAGTCAGCCCTTTTTATTGCAGTCTATGTGAAAAAAATGTTTTATAATAATAGCCAATGTAGAATTTTACTAATTTGCATTCGTATATATTTAGTATGTTAAATTTCACATTTAAGAACTGCTCATTATTAAATCTACTGTCTACACAAGCAAGGCTTATCAAACAGAATGAATTTATCTTATTCACAACAAAAATATTCATTTATTCAGATATAACATTTAATACTAACAATGGATATAATCGTGTTACACACATTATTCTGCATTTTACACTTTCACAATCAAAAGAATGCAAACACTGAAATAAGAAAACACTAGATTTATTGTAACTCTTTCAGTTCTTCTCAGCTCAATTAAAAAAAATAAAAAAAAAAAAAAAAACCTATGCACTTAAATTCTCTTAATCTACAGCTGTTACTAAAAGCATAATATTAAGGCTAATTGTAGCTTGAGTCATTTTTCTCGATGTAAAGAGCGATAATATGCCATGAACATCAATCCAAATATTAATGCGTGATAAAAATCGCGAAAGTGAAATGTCAGCGATTAATTAAAATCATAAAATAAAAGCACTACGGGATTTTCTACTATGACGCCATACATTTATAACTACGAAGCAAACGCAAATTAAAACGTAAACGCTCGCATGCACGAAGATTTAGCGTCACAAGAGCAATAGAAGCTCATTGGTCCATTTTTTAAAGCATTCCCTCGGTGTCTACGTTGATGTGCACTTGTGAAATATGCTGCTGGTGCAGCCAGCACTCGAGTGACGTGAGCACTCGTGGTTCGACGCATCCGCCGACAAGCGGTGGAGCACGCGCAAGCCACTTCTACCTCCATTCCTGAGCATATTCAGGACACCCTGTATGTCCTATATTGACAAAAACCATTTGCCGTCGATTGGTAGTTAGTGGTCTGCACTTGTGGGGTTCGTTAAAAAGACCCCTATTTACCACACCAGCATAGACGCCAACGTTTTCCATGTTGCCTGGCTAGAGCAATATGGACGATGGAATAGCAACGGATCTTGTTCTCAGGTGATTCACGCTTCTGTTTCTGCAATGATAGTTGTTGTGTGAGAGTGTGGCATCGATGTGGAGACTAGTGTAATCCCTCCGCAGTTGTGGAACGCCCCACCGCGCGACAAAGCAGCATCATGGTTTGGGGTGCAATTGCGTAAGATTCAAGTCACCTCTAGTTCGTATTCAGGACACTATGACAGCCCAACGATACATAGATTATATTATGTGTTGCTGTCTACGTCCAAGGAGTGGCCAGTGCCCTTAATCAGCAGAATAACGCCTTACCACGCACTGCTCACATCAGTCAACTTGCTCTTCTCTGGCTACCGTTCGCCAATCGAGCTCATTTGGGATGTGACTGGACGCCATTTGCAGACCCTGCCATTCCCACGTTCAGACGACGAACTGTGGCAAATGGTTGATAGGGAATGAAGTGCCATTCCTCAGGCCACGATCCGTACTCTCATTGATTCTGTATCCAGACGTGTTGCTTCGTGTATCGCCGCCCTAGGTGGTCCTACAACCTACTGAGCCGACGTTGTTCTCGTTCTGTATTATGCATATAATTTCGAAATAATGATCTTTTATTGTTCGTTGCTTTCTCTCTCCTGATTACCGAGTTACATCACTTTCTGGCTACTCCTCCTTGGTGTTGCATATTCAATGTCGGGTAGTATATATTCTCAAAGTTAAGAGAAAAACTAAAACCAAGAAAATAATGTTATCTTAAACATCTCATGAAAACTTTGAAGAAATGAAGAAATTGTATTTTTTTCTCAGGTTTATTTTTATTTCTAGAAGCTGTAATTATTTTAAGTGTGCAATTTATGAACAGAATTAAAGAGATATAAAATTAGCGCTTTTACTTCCTTGTACGAAGCAAAGGAAGTATTGTAATCATGAAAAATTCCTTTTAAAATATCCATTTTGACTGCTATCGAATGCAAATAAACGATGTGTTTGCGTGACATCTATAGATAAGAACAGAATAAAGGACTCTTTTCCCCAAAGGAATTGTAAAATTGATTTAAAATGGACTCAGAAGAGATTTTTTCATAGTCGTCTACGTATATGTATGTATTTCACAAAACTCAAAAACGAGTAGCCTCAGAACGTTGAAATTTCGTATATAGAGCTGCTATAACATGTAGTTGTGCAACTCCCTTTTTGGTTGCCAAACGTATATGCATATACATATATATACCCACGCTTTACTCGGCTCAATGAGCTTTTTTTATTCTTATATGTTGCCAAATTGTGTATATTTTGCTTTAAAAGTGATTGAACAATGTCGTTCTTATCTTACGGTTGAGGATTTTATGCCTTTAGTTAATCTGCATGCAATATTTGTAGAATTATCAGCAATTTAAAAGTTGTGTAAGTGGGCTAAGCCTATATTTTTTACCATAGCAGCCATAATTGATTACATTTGAAACTTAACAGCATCGTGAATTAATTCTTTCTGCATTTTCAGTGTCTTTTTGCCGAGTGGGACAAAAACGAAACTTTTAGTTTTGTGCTCCGAAAAATCTGCCTTCTTGAAAATATTGAAAAATTAGCAGCACATACTGTCGCCACTCTGCTTAGACTGAGGAGAATATTTACGAGTAGCGCATGCGCATTTGGTAGGCATTGCTGAGTGGTCTGTGAAAAACTGCTACTGTTTCTTTTTTATTTGTTTATTTTTTTATACAACGCTTTAGGTTTATTATTTGAATAGAACACGTGGCAACGATTAGCTAGTTATTTAGATGATATAACATTTGCGCATTCTGAGTTAGAAAATGGATGACATGGGACGCTGTTAAGTGAACTTAGCGCCAGAGTGTCGCTATGGTAAATACATATAGTGAATTTTAAAGAGTGCATTTATTCTACAGTCTTTTATGCGCTATTGATGAAGTAGATTTAATTCTATTCAATAAGTTTAAATAAAATGCAGGAAAAATGCGTATAATTTAATATTCCGTACAAGGAAGTGAGGTGGTGTACACATGAGATTTTTTTTTAATTTAATCACCATGCATGTTTTGGGGAGGGGGGGCTTTTATTCATTATTTTTAGCAACAGTATTTGCAAGACGTTTATCCTCAGTATTTAAAATGTAAGAGTAGTTTTTCACTGTATAACGATTTAAAAGAAAGTTTCTCAGATGTTCAGAAGTGGCTTCTCAGATTATTCTAAGATGTCTTAGAATTTGCTGAAATTTGCTGAAAATTTAAGTACTTTCTATATGTGTTTTTATAGAAGATGCGATGTTTTTATATTCCTAACAATACTAGATGTTTGTATTTTATAGTTGATACATTATTCTCGGGAATAGTGCTCGTAAGAATGTTATAAGGTATAATAAAAGTTAGTTTACGTTCATAAATAGCATAAAATAATAATAAATTATGATTTTAAAAGGATTTTATAATATGACCTTTCGTCCTTCATTCTAATACCTAACCTAAATGAAAAGGATCATTACAAAACAGTTCATAGTTCAGAATGCACGTGTTTTACTGTACACATTGCATCTATTGAATGAGATATAAAACAACAGTGTAAACATGAGTGCTTTCATTTACATGCAGACCATACATAAAATCAACATTTCTCAGTATATTACCCTTTTACATTCGACATTCTTTGCAAGCAAAGACTGAAAGAATTACACTGATGTTATCTTCAAACACTATCTTTATAAGGGCATTAATGCTCTTTTGGAATTCATTAATCCTCTTTGCATTATTTCAACGAACATCATGTTAAAATTAAGAAAATGTAACAACTAATAATTAAGAGGAATCAAATACTGAGTGTTTGGTGCAGAAACAATCTGTATTTATCAAAACGATCCGGATAAAAATATCATGTGATTCCTTTCACCATAGAATTATTAGCTAATATAATTCTTCTGAAAGATATTCTTCATAAATGTTCCTGCCACGTATTCTGATAGCCCTTTCATTGACAGTTAACGTTATTTTGTTAAACCATAAGCGAATGTACCCCTCACTTTAAAAATCACAGGTTTCCAGGAAAACCAAAATTCTGAAACTTAACTAGTGATAGCTTCAAAACCTCCCACTCCCATCTTTATTACATGACTTTATACCCAACACATTACATATACTAAAAAAATTAAAAGATATTTACGTAAAGAATTGCTTAGCTCGTATTATGTAAATTCAATCCTTAAATTAATTTATCTGTAAGCATTACTTTACGCAATCGTGAACTTATTTTTACAGTAAATCATGTACTTTTAGTTTAGTTGTATTGTGTTATTTAACATTATAGGATTAATAATGTACAATTTAATATTAAAAATAGACACATGAGACTTCGATAGGAATACAGAGTCTCCATTATTAAAAGAAGGATTAAGAGAGTGTAAATGCAATCTTAACTTAAATGAATAATTTTTCTGATTTTTATTTGTAGATATTACTCCTATGAAGGAAGACGAATCCTCTTCAACCTTGAAAACCACTTCAATCTCCATTACCTTGTCTCCGAAGTTAGATGACAATGGAGCCATTTACAGCTGTGTTGGTGAACATTCAGCAGTTTCCAGACCATTGAGAACTAACGTCTTCTTGAGTGTCTTATGTAAGTCATTTGAATGCATATTTCGTTATACGAAAGATTGCTTGTTATAAACATTAAATTTTTATGAACTTAAGTCAAGATAACTTTACTAAGTAAAGTTTACTTAACTTTTATAAACTTAAGGTCATAGGTTCTGTGTGAGAAATACTTAATACAAGTTAATATAATTCCTTGGGCACAGCAAACAAAACTAGCAGCGTGAATACTACACTTCCTATTTCTGCAACTGATTAAGGAATCGTTTTGAGTCTCTTAGGTCGTTGTCATCCGTACTTTTACTGTGTCTGGTAATGATATTATAAAATCTGAACTTAAAAATGACAGTTTCTTCACTATTATTTCAGGTAACATCATGCTAACAACCACATTAACGTGCTATCGTTTTGTCCTCAACATCTGATCTATCTAAATAAAACATGTTTTAAGATACTGTCTCGAATTAGCAGTATTGTTGTGGAAAATTGTAACCGAGATATTTGTCAATGGTCTCTTATAGTAGAGAGCCCAGTAACTGCCATTAAACTTTCCTTTCAACTGAGGCATCACTGTCTTTCCAATATATCCAAGTCAACCCTCTCAGTGACGCAAAGATGTCTTCCATATCAGCTAAAATGAATACACTGAGCTTTTGTGAAATACGTAAAAGAATAATGAGAGTCCTTATACTTTAGCATAATAAGACTGGTATTGGTTGCATCAGTAAAATGTTAAAATGTTTTTAAAAAAACTCACTGAATTTTAAAGGATCTTGTATTAAAAGCGCTTAATTGTGGAGATATAGTTTCTTAATAGTTTTCCAGTATTGGTAAAGCAGTTGCAATATTATATTTCTCTCTCTCTCGCTTTATATATATAGTAAGAAAAAGGTATGTCTTATGAGAAAGACCCACATACTATGAATTCTAAATGCTATTATATAGAAAGACCCACATACTATGAATTCTAAATGCTCTTGATTTGTATCCATCTCTTTCCCCTCGCCGAGTCTAACAAACAAGTGATTAATTTTGAATGGATATTTTTAATAAAATTTAAAAAATTACAAAATATGAGTCAAAATCTTTATTTATTAGAATATTCGATGTTAGAATTAAAATTATGCATAATGTCTGTTTTCTTAATAATTCTAATTCGGATAATAAACAAAACTGACTGTCAGCATGATTGCCAATACTAAAACAAAACGTATTGAAAAATAACATTTTCGTTCTTAAAAAGAATACATTAAAAGTTCCGCAAAGAAAACTCAATGAAGGTCTCAACAAGCTGCTTTCAAAAAATATCATCACGTTAATTTTGTCTAAAGCTTAAAGAAAGCATTTAATCTGAAATCCCGAGACTTAGCTTTAAGTAGCCTTTTTCAGTTTGGGCTCTGTCGTTTCCTTAGAGTGGTCAAAAGTATAGCAGAGCAAAATTCTCAGCAAAATTCCAAATCCTGCCTAACAGAATACTTCAGAATTCATAACCTTCATAGACACCTGAATATAAAAATCATTAAGGAACTTCTTCTAGTTTTAATACTAAGATTTTTAGCTCAGAATCAAAATGAGAAACATCGTTTTCATTAAGAAATTCTTAAATATTCTCATTTTCATCATTCGCTTTCCGAATAGTGCAAATTGTTTAGTAGACTCACGAAGAACTGAGATTTTTTCGGGGAATCCCATCCGGCCCTTGGAAAAATATATCTTAAAATTATATTTAACGTAGATCAGTATGTTATGGGTACTTCATGTAAAGACATTTAAAGAAAATTATATTTTTATTAAAACTTTTAACAAAAAATGAATGTAATTTACTCATTAATAGCATACCCGTGCTCCAAGCATTACCTACCTTTGCATTATATTTAATGACAGGGGTGTATTATAGAAATAATGAAGTTTAGCTCTATTTGATGTTATCTGCTGTCACATTTTATATTCTGCATTTAATTTATTTCTATGTGTTATTTTTGTTGCACCATAAATCATACAAATTCCGCAGGAAACGTAAATCTATTTTGCATACGCATCGACTGAACAGTTGAAAAACCGAAGCTACTCTCGCAGGAACGTCACTGCTGACATCGGCAGCCCATATAAAAAGCTTCTGATTAATTTTCAATTAAATGTATCTTTATATTTTTTAGTTAATAAACACAGTAAATAATTTGTAATTTTATTTTCTAAACCTAATTTTCATTTTCAGAACCTTGCCTCTTAATGTTGCCAATTGCGAACATTTGAAAAACATTATTATCCATACTTGATTTTTCATATTTAATGTACAGATTTATTTCATTTGGTTACTGCTTGAGTAGACATAGTTTTAAAGTATTTGTTTCAGACGCAAAATTTTATTTTTTATTTAGTATTGAATATATGTTTGGGCACATACAATTTCTTTGTTTATTGATAGAACCGCATAAAAATTAAAATGAATATAATTTTCAAGCTAAAAATTAGTTGGTAATTTAATATGAGGTTATTCCTATTCAACACAATAAAACTACATGTGATGGATGCATGTACGTGCACTCAGATGAAAATATCCAGCCACCCTTGCCCAGAAATACCATGATAGAATTTATACATTGACCTTCACAGCAGTTATTTATTTTCATATAATTGTTTGGTAATAAGGAATATAGTAAAATTGTAAACTGGATTTCAACGAATATGTTACTAATCATGAAATTTAATAATATTTGAAATAATTCTACACTGCTGGCCATCGAACGTCAAAGTCACATGAAAGGAAAAAGAGGATGGGATATGCAAATGATTAGTATTTCAGCGCATTTAGACTACGCAGGAAGGAGAAACGACATCTGAAACACTGCAGAAAAGAAAAGGTGTCTTGTGTATTTCTCATTCGGAAAGCGCTTTGTAATGTCGGCGTTTGCTCAGAATATCGTGTTATACTTCGAATAATAAGAAGAAATGCTTACCAGTAAGTGTCATAATACGATAGAGGTAGGATCGTTGCCTATCGAGAGTGCGTATATCGCCCATAGCACTATTCGACATGGGTTGTTGAGGGTCAAACTGAACGCCATGCAGAATCTCAACGCTCTCCTATGACTAACGCCCGAGAGGACAGACATACTGTGAGGTCAGCCCTGCAAAACCATACAACCACATCACGGACTATTTGTCAGGAAATAGGCATGTTTGCAACACGCCTAATATCCGCTCATACGGTGTGTCGACGTTTCCAGCCGCGTGGTCTACCAACACTACGACTATTACTTCGACTTCCCTTGACAATGCAGTATAGAGAGAGACGGCGACTCTGATGCGCCGAACGACAAAGCTGGATATAGGAGTGGGACAACGTCGTCTTTTCAGAAGAGTCCCGGTTCTTCTTGCAGTATCCCGATGGCTGTATACGTGTCTGGAGGATCCAAGGAGACCGCAAGGTCGCCTGTTTGCATTCGATATCGGCATAGGGGCCCTATAGAACATTTTAAACTTTAACGGTTTGAGTAGCAATTGGGCGCAAGATACGCACATCAGTAATTAGGATCAACGCTAACTTGAACACATATTGGTACATTTTTGACATCATACGTCCAGTAGTTGTACCTTATCTTCCAACAAGATAATGCAAGACCACATTATGCACGTCGTGTTCTGACCTTCCTCGATAGAAATGGTATTGGATTGCTGCCCTGGCCTGCACGGTCTCCAGATCTGTAACCCATTGAAAACATCCACCCGCCATCCCTCTCCAGATAATATGGTTGATGAAATGTGGCATAGACGTGAAGCAGCTTGGGACGAGTTTCTGACATGCAACCCCAGTTTGATTCCATGCTTAACCAGGTAAAGGGCCGTTTTCGATGCCATGAGTGGCAGCTGTTTCTACTAATTTTGCACCCCTGTAAACCTCCAAACTGCTTACAAATTTAACCATTTTGTCTTCATGCCAATCACTTTAAGTACAATAAATATCTTGTTTTTATTTCATTTCCTTCATGGCCAGCAATGTAAATTTATTTCTCAGAGTAAAATTTGTTATATATTTCTTAACATGAATTTGTGAATATTTAATTTTAATAATTTAATTGTGTTTAATATGCTTCGTGAATGTCAACAATATTTTTCAGAACCACTAACCTTTAGCAGCCAGTTGGCTGAATCCAGTAAACATTAATAATACATCCGAGATAAGTTACCATGAGCTAGCTTGGTGGGTGCATAAAATTGACTGAAATGTTTACATGATAAAGATTTCCTCATAAAATTCATCAATAATGATATCCTTTCTTACTAGTACAAAAGATTTTTCACATGCTTTGCACAAACCAAATCAGTTTAGTTTATCTTTATATGCAGTTTTTATATTGAAAATAAATACTAAAAATGAATCTTACTTTATTTTTTAAACACAGATTTTAATTATTCATACTTCAAAGAAATTCAAATGAATCTGGTATATTCAAATAAAGTTTAAAAAATTATAATAGCTTATTAATAAATTATGATTTGTAACTGCATTTACGCTTAGATATTCTTATTACTAATTATCATCTCTTCAAGAATAGAAAAAACTTCATTCGCCGAATTTTATTCTCTGTCAAAAATGTTAATATGTTTTATCTATGCCATTTAAAATAGGAAAGAAATAGCACATTTTAAACTAGAACATTTTAAACTTTCAGGTAAATAGGTAATAGGTAAAATCAGAACCTATTAATTTACGTATTTATGCGTAAGCTAATTATCTATACCAGCATATTTTTATTTATTGCTAAAACTCCTATTTTGCATGACAAAGTATACCTAGCTGATTTGCTGAATTTTAAATGAAGGGAAAATGTAATTAAGAAACAGGTTATATTTTCTTCCGTGCGATTCTATAATAAATTTATAAAATTGTTAATTTTTCTCAACTTATTATTGTAAAACTCCTTTTTATAGCACCTTACTTCGACTTCGATGTGCAGTAATTTATGCAATATTGTTATTACTGTATATACATTCGTACTAAAAAATAAGCAACAAATGCTAAAA